GTTCATGTTATAATTTGTTGTCATTCTAGAACAAAAGTGGCATAACTAATATTTATTTCCTAATTTATTATGGTGGCTACAAGATCGGTCAAATCCATCTGACCCATACAGAGATTCATTAGTGAAAATAACAGATAAAATATGAAGTTTTTTCTTAAGAAACATTTGATAAAAATCTGGACATTATAAATATTTCACATGTGAAATTTGAAACATTTTTGATGCATAAAATTATTTTTAATTTAAAATGAAAATTACTTTGCACGTTTGATAGGCAACAGTTGAGCTCTAGGATGCAGCTATCTCTGTTTCTTATCCATTTCACTGACGAGAAAGAACACTTTTTATATCTGGATGCCAGTTGCTAACTTCCTTGCAAGAAAGTCGGTTTATTGCCAATTAGTAAACCTTGCATGCTTTCAAAACAAGGAACTTAAAGTGTTGCTTGAGCTTCCAAACTAAGAACTCTGAAAAACATAATAATTTTGAAACAAAAATGTATATCTTAACTGATGGGGTAGCATGAACATAGCACCATCCTGTACAGCACAACACTGTGTTTATTTCACATGTGCATTTTCTTAAAAAAATGCTTATTTGTTTATATAGATTGTTAAAATGTGTTAATTATCAGAAAATAAGTGTTACTATAATGTAGTTATTTTGAATAAATTAGTACTTTTGAGAATAAAAAAAATTGTTATTTTTAGTAAAGAATAATTCAGTTCAATTATTTTACTTACTACTTAAACAACTTTGTGTTACAGGAGAGAGAGCGGAGAAGACAACACATGCTACTAGTACGAGCGTTAGATTTTCACAAGAGACATGAGGTATCAAACACTTTAAATTTTTCACAAAAGCTAGTAAGACTTAATGAAACAAAAGTATATGTAATAAAATACAATATTGTGAAAAAGTCAAGATTGTTAAAATCTTTATGTTTGACTAAAGAATTTAAATATTAGATAAATCTGTTGATTTTATGTTATGTTTAATAAGTTACCATCATTAATTTTACTGTTGTAAACATTGGATAAATCTGTTGGTTTTATGTTATGTTTAATAAGTTACTATAATTAATTTTAATGTTGTAAATGTTGGATAAATCTGTTGGTTTTATGTTATGTTTAATAAGTTACCATCATTAATTTTACCGTTGTAAATATTAGATAAATCTGTTGGTTTTATGTTATGTTTAATAAGTTATCATCATTAATTTTAACGTTGTAAATATTAGATAAATCTGTTGGTTTTATGTTATGTTTAATAAGTTACTATAATTAATTTTAATGTTGTAAATATTAGATAAATCTGTTGGTTTTATGTTATGTTTAATAAGTTACTATAATTAATTTTAATGTTGTAAATGTTGGATAAATCTGTTGGTTTTATGTCAAATTGAAAATATCTCAGTTTTCAGAAATGTTTGAGTTCTGAAAACAACTTTTTGTGTGTGACCATGAATATCCCGATTTTTTAAACGATTTGCAAAATGTGTCTGTAAGACAACACTGTTCTCTGTCAACTGTTGGCTTTCAGTTTGCAATGTTGTGTAGCAAACTTTGAAGATTAAATAGTGGTGTATGAAGTTTGTTTTTGCAGCCAAACACTATTTCAGCCATGATATCACAATTAATCTGATATTCAAAAAATACAATGTATAAAGTTCATAATTTTCCTTACCTGAGTTACTAAATAAATCTTAAACCTGACTTGTGTTTTTTTATTCTTAGGAGAGACAAAGAAAACAAGAAGAACTACTACAAGAAAAACAATTGTACAAAGAAAAAAGACAGGTGAAAAGATTAATTATTGTTTTTGCATGGTAGTGTGCTTTAATTATTGAAATTCTTGCTTGCAAATAGTAACACACTAAGTGGTGGATACAGATCAGAATTTTATATTATATGTGTTCAAATGGACTAGCTAACTTTTGCATTTCTTTCTTTTGCTGCGTTTTCTAATTGTATTAACTGGCAGTCTCATATAGCAACATAACTGTGTATTTTTTTATTCTGTGGAAGTGCAGCTGAGGGATGGTGAGCAAATGGATTAATAACTTGGGTTGTAAAGAAATGGAAACAAGAAAACTCTTCCCTAACCTTTTTTTTGTTCAGTGGGGGACTAAAACACAGTAACCCTTCCATGAGCACGTGTGATTTTGTTATTATTATTAAGGATTGTAATCTGAGTAACCTGAATAGTAGTATGAATTATAAAAAAGTTCATTTATAGCTATTTTTTATTGATTCCACATTTTACATTTTCCTCTACTATGATGCATCTATTATTGTAAAAAAAATCGTTGTTAAATATAGTTGATTCGTGGGATTGGTAATTGCCGTAGCAAGTTAGATTCACAATATACAGAGCATCACATAGGTGTTTATTTACATTTTCATAACTAATACTGAACTCATGTCTTAGAAGTTATTTGAGGTATTTATGGAATACTAGCAGAGACCCACAAAACATTTCCAGCCAAATTAGTATCTTCATCGTAACAGTACTTCTTTAAATATAACATTTCTAGCACAATACAAACAACTTATAATTGTAGACAATGAGATGTGTAAATCCACTTGTATATAAGCCGTACTTTATAAAGCTTTAACTTATGTTAGGCCTAAGTTTGATAAAGAGATAAATTAACACTGTAATCTGTGTACGTTTTTTCTTACTTTTGTTTAGTTAGGACTAAACTTTACTGTACTTAATACTATTGATAAATAAACTTATAATGTTATTGTATGACCTAACGTCAAACTTTTTTTAAAAACTTTGATAAGTATTGTTACGCATCTGCCTGTTTGTTAATTTCCCTTAGAAATTCTTTCCGAGAAACTTCAGTGATAGAAGTTCTTTCTTAAATAAAACTAGTTTATTCTTTCTCAATACAACTTTTCAATATACAGAATTTCCACAGTCACTTTAACTTAAACACACGCTATAATTCACAATGATTTACGCACTTTACTTATGGTCACTACCGCTCGCTTGAATCAATTATCTGTCTCTATATCTCATTATCTGTCTCTATATCTCATTATCTGTCTCTATATCTCATTATCTGCTATTATATCTTCGCTTTATTTGATGGGCTTATATACATAAAAAAGAGGGCGCCTAGAAAAGACTAGAGTTGCCAGAAACAGTCATGATTCTTCTAGAAACTCCAGTGCGCATGGTTCCTGTGTCGCGTGACTTCCACTATCGTAACAGTATATTTACACTCCCCTTTTTTTGTTACTTCTTATTTCATACAGCAATTGTAGCGACTTGATTACTGAGCTTTGTAGCTGTCTGCTGCAGGTAGACTGTTTGTCGTCGAGTGAATAATGTGCATGCACGGTTTTTCTTGAGAAAACATTTTAACTTAGCATGCTTATGCAGCAGGATCTCGGTCAGAAAGAGTAACGGTCATACATACAAACAAGCAGAATAATAGTATAGATTATCTCTTCTTGTTGTACAACAGGCAGTAATAGTATTGTTGCGTCAGCGAGGTCACGTGACTAATATCACGCCACCTCTTTCTAGAAATA